GTTTTTCCCAACCATCCTGTGGTGTTGGGTCCTCGTTTTGAAGAGACGGTGCCCCGCGTTCTCCTTCCTTCCTTCCTTCCTTCCTTCCTTCCTCCCGCTGCCTCCTCCCCCCTCCCATCATCATCATCATCATCATCATCATCATCATCATCATCATCATCATCATCAATCATCATCATCATCATCATCATCATCATCATCATCATCATCATCATCATCATCATCACATCACCAATCATCACACCCAATTCGGCACACCCCTCACACGTTTCGTGGCTCCATAGGGAGCTCCACCGAAGGCCCCAGTGCCCGCGGCCGCATGCGTCACCCACACCCATTTCGGCACACCCCTCACACGTTTCGTGGCTCCATAGGGAGCTCCACCGAAGGCCCCAGTGCCCGCGGCCGCATGCGTCACCCACACCCATTTCGGCACACCCCTCACACGTTTCGTGGCTCCATAGGGAGCTCCACCGAAGGCCCCAGTGCCCGCGCCGCACACCCACACCCATTCGGCACACCCCTCACACGTTTCGTGGCTAGGGAGCTCCATATGCGTCACACCCATTTCGGCACACCCCTCACACGTTTCGAGGCTCCATAGGGAGCTCCACCGAAGGCCCCAGTGCCCGCGGCCGCATGCGTCACCCACACCCATTTCGGCACACCCCTCACACGTTTCGTGGCTCCATAGGGAGCTCCACCGAAGGCCCCAGTGCCGCGGCCGCATGCGTCCCCACACCCATTTCGGCACACCCCTCACACGTTTCGTGGCTCCATAGGGAGCTCCACCGAAGGCCCCAGTGCCCGCGGCCGCATGCGTCCCCCACACCCATTTCGGCACACCCCTCACACGTTTCGTGGCTCCATAGGGAGCTCCACCGAAGGCCCCAGTGCCCGCGGCCGCATGCGTCACCCACACCCATTTCGGCACACCCCTCACACGTTTCGTGGCTCCATAGGGAGCTCCACCGAAGGCCCCAGTGCCCGCGGCCGCATGCGTCACCCACACCCATTTCGGCACACCCCTCACACGTTTCGTGGCTCCATAGGGAGCTCCACCGAAGGCCTCAGTGCCGCCGCCCGCATGCGTCACCCCCACCGATTTCGGCACACCCCCCGCATTTCTCGCACGGCAGGGTCATCACCACGGTGGCGTGCCAGGGGCGCACCATGCGCGAAGGCGACGGGGCGGGGGAACGGCGCTCCGGGGGCGGCCAGACCTCCGGGGCGCGAGCAGTCCGCGGCCAGACCATCTCTCGGTCCTGTGGACTCTCGCCCTGGGCCGTCGGCTGCCCGGCGCGCTGCTCCCTCGGTCGACGTCGCCCAGGCGTGATCCTGGATTGCGGCCGCCACGAGGTAGGGAACGGCAAGAAGGAGGACGACGACTGGTGGCTGGAGCTCTACGTGCTGCTCTCGCGCGCCACGCGCCACGAGGACCTCCTGCTCATGCGGGCGCCGCGCATCGAGTTCTTCCTGGCAGGGCCGCCGCAGGGCTTGCGGAAGCAGCTGGAGCAGTTTGCGGCGCGCACGAAGCGGTGCAGGAGGGAAGCGACGGCCCTCGCCAGGGAGCTCGGCTTCACCGAGTTCATCCGCGAGGCCTGACCTGAGGAGCGCCTCCCCCGAGCCGCGCCTTCTCTCGACTGCCCGACTAATTGTTTGGCCTCGCGCCGCGGACGACCCGCGCGCGTCGCTGGGACCCTCTCGGGGCGACCGGCGCGCGTCGCGGGAACTCCGTGCTGCGGGGGGCCCGGCGCCTCGTTCGCCCGTCGTCGCTCTGCCCAGCGGTCAGAGACTTGCCCGCTATCAGCCAGCCAGTTAGCTAGTCAGCTCTCTCTGCTTCGCGCAGCGGACGACCCGCGCGCGTCGCTGGGACCCCGCCCGGGGCGACCAGCGCGCGTCGCGGGGACTCCGCGCTGCGCTGCGCCCGCAGCCTTGGATTTTGGAGTGCGCGGGCAAAGAGGAAGGAAAAGAAGAGCCGAAAGCGGGCGCGATCCTCGCAAGAGGCGTGCCGACATGGGCGTCGCGACGTGCGGACGCTGCCGTCGGGGTTCCCGCGGAAGCTGCCTGCGGCGGCCACGCCCAGTGTCACGTGTGTTCGGACAGGCATGCTCGACACTTACACTAGGCGTTTCCATGATCGCATTCATGCAAATATATACACTCGCGCGCAGACCCATTCATACTCAGATTCCCTCGCGCTCTGACTCACCCGCGTTCTTTCTCTCGTAATCAGATCTATCGTATTCCTTTGCGTTGTGTACCCCGCCACATTTCGGCACACCCCTCATGCGGTTCGTGGCCTCATAGGGAGCGCCACCGAAGAAGAAACTCACAATTGCGATACTCACAACTGCATATGGTTGGGTCCTTCGCCAGGATAATTTTGGGGGGCCTTCGAGGCCCTTTTGCGGCAATCCTTGGGGCATCGATCAAGCCCCATCAGAGCCCGACGTATCGCCTTGGAACCCTCCTGGGGTGCTCTTCGGCGATTCCGGGGCCGCCTTCGATCTTTCCGTGCCCGTCTTTGGGCTGTTTTCTTCGGCTATGTTGGGGCCATTTTGAGGCCCCAAGGGCTACTGGGACGCGACCGTGAGACCACCCCACAAACAATGAACACACTTAGACTTCAGGTGGTTTTGGCCTCGCCAGGGTCTTCTCTCCTGTGGCTTCTATGAGGCATGTGAATTAGAGTCTATTTTCTTCCGTCTTGGAGGCCATCTTGAATTTTCTGACGCAATCTTCTGTCTTGCTCCACCTGCCAGGGTAAAGTTATCTAAATCATGTAGTTTTTATTTTTTGGGGCCTTCAGCGAAGGGAACGACAACGATTCGCCCTGCTTCCCCTACGCCCGACATGTCGCCTCTTGGGGTCCTCCGTGTGGCACCCTTGAGCGCTTGGGAGACAGCCTTGGAGCTGCCCTGGGCCTCTCTTGTTGCTCTTGTCGGCCAAGCAGGGCCTCTCGCCAGGGGTCCGAAGGTGCTCACCTCCTAGCTTTACGAGCCGACTTGCAAGAACCCGAAGCCCCCAGGAAGGACGAGGATGGGAGCGGAGAGTACGGAGAAGGTAGAAGGGGAGCATGTCAGGGGGTGGAGGAGCAGATCCAAACACGCGTGCACGGCAGCCTTTTCATTTGCTCGAGGGTGCATTTGGCACGGTATTCGAAGGCTTCAATTCGGCATGGCAGGCATCACCGATTGTTGGCGTTGCGGTGTTCCCAGGGAAGTTGCGTTACATGCCTGTTGGTAATACCGCGGGGATTCTTGTCAGCACAAGACCAACACAGACCTCTGGCAGGTCTTCTGGGATGTCTACCGGGCCAGGTACCAGCGCATCGCCTCAAAGAAAACCAAGGCCCGCGCCACCGTCGCCGACATTAGACCAGGCACAGTTCGCAACGACTTTGACATCGCCTACACCGCAGCTGATGCTGTTGCGGGGAGGGTGGCCGAGTTTTCCGCCTTCACCACGGCAGCATGTAAGTAGGCCGGACCATGAGGTCAACCTCACTCGGGCAAGGTTGGCACTTATTCAGGACCTTACATGGAAGTTTAGTTTCAACCCGAAGATCCAGAGGATTCCCGAGAGTGCCCGAACTCGGAGGCCCCGCGTGGCCCCTACTGAGTACCCCATGCTGTGCTTATGCACAACTGTCTGTCGTAGGTGTATGCAGTATTCGAATAACTCTAAGCCTGGGTGGGTGACCTGAGTTCATCTCCCCAAGAACACGATTTGGCACGTGCACCCCTCCCACCGCCTCAACACATATATAGTCAGGGGGGGGGGGTTCTTTTGTGCGAAGTGTGGTGGATGGGCTTCTTCAGAAGCCAGGAAGACGCTTAAAGGACAGTGCCAGGCCCCCACCAGCACCCCACTAGCACTGGGATCAAAACCCAGGCTGCAGGGCTTGAACCCAACCCTCCCCCTCAGAAGTCGTGGAGGGTAGGGGTAGGGTTCACATGTGGCCCCCTAGCGCGGGGGTGATCCTTCAATTGTTGGTAAGGTCACCAGGCGCGTTCCACTCTTCGCACAATGCCTACTCGCAAACATCCGACAGAAATACATGTCTTCCTCTGTGTAGTGTATCGCAAGTCCCGTGCGGCGGATCCAGGCCGTTTGCGAGCAGTTGCTTTACGAGTAGTGGAACGCGCTTGTCCATGAGCGGTAACTGCTGGGGGAGGACCTTTTTGGCGGCATGGCACCACCTCTGCCCGCCCCAGTCAGGCGATCACAAACATGGATTAAGAGGGCGTGGATTAGCGATGGGCCCCGTTCCATGGGAAATCGCGGATCTCCGCCGCCGAACGACGCGGCACCGGCCGCATTTTGGGGAGGTCACCTCCCCCGATCCATGGATTTGGCGACCGCGCGCCAAGTCCATGGATGGCCAATCCATGTTTGCGCGCCCCCGCCCCGGCGCCCCAGCCAGCCCCGGGGGCCGCCCACGGGCTCGTCGACCAGCTCCGCGACGACGGCGCCGAAGCCGCAGGTCCCTTTCGAGCTCCGTGGTGCGCTCGGCTTTCGCCTCGCCCAGGGCGTCCCGCTCGGCCTCTGCCAGATCTTCGGCCACCTGGATCGCCTCGTCCAGCACGACATGGTTTGCGTCGTACTCTGGAGCGTTGCCTTCGTTCTTCTCGTTGGTGTTGCTTATAGTTGTCCTTTAGCTCGTATCCTTAGTATGTCTCTTTTTTCCTCGTTTTCTTTTTGTCCGGCAGCACCTTCGGCATTATCTTCTCCTGGATCAGCGTCTGCGCTTCGCTTCAAGAGCCGCTAGCGATACTGAGCTTTGAGCACTGCCATCGGTTCTGTCATAACCTTGTCTTGGCCCGTGTTTCCGTCGCTTTTCAGCTCGTCGACTGGGTTCCCGTCCACGCAAGGCAACTCTCAACGAGCCCAGGGGCGGAAGCACGCGCGCCTCCGGCAGCGCGTCGCTGTACCACCTTCCAGCCGTCCTCCAACGTAATCCCTCCTGGGCCTGTCCAGAGGTTGCTACGGCCAACCGATCCCGCACACCAAGGACAACCAGAAGCCAATCTGCAGAGATCCGTGACCGTTTTGGCTCAAGGCTGTTTCTCTTCCGAGCGCCGTTGACTCGAGCATACGATTTCCGCGCGTCTTCCCCCTCGCAAGATGTACCGCAGTCTCCGCCCGGCCGCCCTGAACATGGCCGCCGTCCCTGGCCTGCACCTGTCGACGGCCAAGAGCCAGGCGAGGCCCAGGGGCTACAAGAGCTTCCGGCCCGCTCCCCTGGACATGGCCCTGGTACCTGGGGTGCACCATTCGACGGCCAACGGCAGGTGGTTGTCGATGCCGGACGAGGACGCCCACGCGTGCTCGCCGAAGCACTGCGACCCGAAGGCCGTCGACGACTCGGTGGACACCTGCAGCACGGCGGCCGACGGCGAGAGCCTCGCGTCCTTCGGCGAGGACGTGGCCTCTGACCCCTGCGAGTCCGACAGCGAGCCCAGCTCGCCGTTCGCTAGCGCGCTGCTCAAGAGGCCCGAGGCCCGCGAGCCCCTATCGCCGTTCAGCCAGATGCTGCAGGCCAAGCGCCAGAGCGCAGCGCGGCAGGCGGCGGAGCCCCTCTCGCCGTTCAGCATGGCGCAGCGCCAGCGCGCCCTCGCCCGCTGCTTCTAGAGTCCCCCTGCCGTGCCGCAGGGCGTCGCGTGCCCGACGCCCGTCGGGGTTTCGCACGCTCAGAGGCTCGCGCAGGGCTCAGCGGCACGGCCGCTGCAGCCCGGCAGGTGTTTCGGGGGTGGGGGAGGGTACACTGGATGGCATGGTCAGATGCTTTCTGATGGCTGGGGGGGGTGTCTGAGAGTTTCGAGTGCGGGGCCCGCGAGGGTCGTAGGATGGTTCAGCCTTCGGATGAGTTATAAATGGTTATATGGATTCGGCTGTCTAGATTTGGTTCAGCAAAACGGCACGACCTGTCTGCTAGGGCGGATGTGGCCTCAGTCGTTCCATCCTTGGACTCGAGGACAGCGCAGCAGCATTATGCTGAGGCGAGCGGAGCCTTGGCGAACGCGAAGCTGTTCTGGATTGCCAACAGGGCGAACGGGTTCCCAAGAATGCAGCACTTATTCGCTGGGCCTTGTCTTTCAGCGACTGCTTTCCTTTTCCTCAGCCGACCAGCGAGCCTTTCCAGCCGCAGGCCAGCCTGTGGCGCGCGCTAGCTGGGACGGCGGAGCTTGGCTGCGGCACGGCCGGGCCGTCTTCACCTCACGTCCTTCCCTTCTCGTCCTCCTCCCCCTCCTCCTCCTCCTCCTCCTCCTCCTCCTCCTCCTCCTCCTCCTCCTCCTCCTCCTCCTCCTCCTCCCCCTCCTCCTCCTCCTCCTCCTCCTCCTCCTCCTCCTCCTCCTCCCCTTCCTCCTCCTCCACCTCCTCCTCCTCCTCCTCCCTCTCCTCCACGTCCTCTCCTCCTCCTCATCATTGCGAGCCGCCACGCCTCGCCTGCCGTGTCTCGTGCCTCCCTCGATCCGTCTTGCGGTTCCTCATGTTCCCCTCCCTCCTCCTCACTCATCGCCGGATATCTGGCGATTCCTCGCGCAGGGGGGGGGTCGCTGGGCTTTAGTTCTGAAGCCCTAGAGTCAACTTAGGAAGATGCTTACGGCTATTGCTGGAGTCAGTGGGCTTGATGCCCCAGACTCCTGATCTCATGCTGATAGATCAGACTCTGCTGTCTGTCAGCACTCCAGATAACACTTTTACGCCTTGCTGTCGGTCCTTTGACAGTGCATTTTGCATGTGCCAAGCATGCCCCTCTCTCTCTCTCTCTCCCTCTCCCTCCCTCCATCTCTCTCTCTCTCTCTTTTCTCGTGCTTTCCCTCTCTTCCCTTCAGCCTTTTCCTGCCTCCCTGCCCCGCCCCTCTTTAACTTCGCTGTCCCCTTCTTGGTTCATCCTCCAGATTCCCACTTCAGCATCACGTGTCTCTTCATCCAGCAGCGGGCCCACTGGATTCAGACTGAAGCCTCCAAATTAGAGTTCGGCCACTGATGGGCAGGAAGGCTGAGATTCAGGCTGGACATCTAGATCTGATGCTGTCTGCTGGCATTCGGGGCTGGAAGCCCCACCATTTGTATCTAGTTGTTCCCTTCTACCATCTCCCCCTCCCTCTCTTCGCGAACCCCTTCCCCCTTCCCCCTACTGCCTTCACTGAATCCTCGTTTTCACTAGAATCTCGAGCGCTTCTGATTTCAGGTGAGCTCAGGCTGTGGGTTCGAGCTCGAAGCTCGGAGGCCAATACCAGAAGATCAGACTTTTGTGCTGATGCTGTCTGCCCGCGCTGCGGAGGCTGGAAGCCTGCCTGTGAGGGGAAAACAAACGAATAAGCTCATTTGCAGAGGCCAGCGCACAGGTCCTGAAGGTAGAAGAAAGCATGCCGAGGTGCTTGTCGCAATCCACGGTCGTGTGAAACGCTCTGGGACCGGCTGCACCAGCAGCTCGGCGGCGAGCCTGGGGGAAAGCGAGAGGAGGCGGGCCTTCTCAAAAGGCTCGGGAGGCCTCCTGCCTCCCGAGACGCTGGCCGAGCCTCATCCGAAGACAGCGCCAGCTTCTCCGAGGCCTGGAGGGCGTCTGAGAACCCCGCCGCCTTTCTCAGGAGGCCTGCCCCCTCCCACTTCCCCCCCCCCCTCGGGCTCGCCGCCAGGCGGCGGTCGCCCGGCTCGCCGCCGCGGGCAGCTGCCTGGCACCGACCGTCCCTGACGGCGCTTGCGCGGCGCCTTTGGCGCCGCCGCGGCGCCGCCGCACTGCGCCGCGCAGGCCGCGCTGGGGCCCGCACCGGGCCGACGGTTCCTCAGAGCACGACGAGGTGCCGATACCTCTGCTGCCCTGCTTGGAAGGAGAACACGCCGCATAAGCATAGACTGTTGGGGCTCCGCACCCCAGGCAAAGGTCTGGGGCGCAGCGGTCGCCCTGGAATTATACAGCGATGACCCTCCCCACCCCAACCCCCTGTCCTTTCCCAGGGGGGGAACAGCGCTCATGGCGGCGAAAGATGTCTTACTCTTTCCCCCTTTCGAATTGGGATCCCCAGCCAGCCCCCGTAGACTCCCCCACAGGCGCAGCCGAGAAGCATCGCCCCCGCATTAACAGCTCACGTAGCGGACGCGCGAGAGCAGGAGGAGAAGGAAGGGGCGGCCGTGCGGGCGGACGCTGGGCCGCTTAAACATGCATCTGGTAACCTGGTATCCTTGGCCCAACAAGTTTGCTATCTTTCTGGCGCCCGCGTTACAGTCGGGTTCCATTAGTAGGTCGGCCCTGCGAAATCAAGGGTGCTCTTGTGTCCTGTGGTTTTGGAGGCCATGTTGCCGTCGGAAGAGTCTTGTGTCCTGTCGCGCGTCCTGTGCGCAATAACCCGCCTGTAGCAGTACGGGGTACTTCTTTCGAAGAAGAATCAACGCCATAGGCAGAAAGTTATGGCGTTCCGCGCGGATCTCTTGGATCCGCGCTGGGCCCTCCGTGGCGGCGCCTCAGGCGCCGCCCCTGGCGCACTCCGCGCGCCAGGGAGGGAGGTCTGGCGCAGATCCAAGGGATCCGCGCGGAGCGCCGAAAGTTTATGTGTATGGCGTTTTTTATTCTTCGGAGTATGGGTGCTTTTTGGCTTTCCCAACTCCCACACGTGGGGCACGATGCGGATGGGCGGGGCGACGGTGCCACCTGTCCTCCTGCAGGCGGATTGTCGACGAAAAACTAGTGGCACGCGTGCCACGGCTTTTGCGCAAAAGGGAGGGGGAATGGTGATGATGAGGAGGAGGCGGAGGAGGAGGAATATGCTGCTGCTGCTGCTGCTGCTGCTGCTGCTGAGGAGGGAGGAGGAGGAGGAGGAGGAGGAGGAGGAGGAGGAGGAGGAGGAGGAGGAGGAGGAGGAGGAGGAGAAGGAGAGGGGACAGAGAGGGGACGAGAAATTATAGACGCTTCGCGTATCCCCACCAGCCCGTCCAGAAACGACGCCCAGGCGAGTAGAGGGTCGTCCTGAGGGGCTTTTCGGCGTCTTGGGTGCCTCGGGGGGGCCTCTGTGGGCCGTTCGGGATCCTCTTTGGGCCTCCTGGGGGCCTCTTGATCCCTCTTGGGGCCTGGGGCCTCTGGGGCTGGGGGGGAGTCACCTCTGGGATCCTCTTTGGGGCCTCCTGGCCTCTTGGGGCATCTTGGGGCCTCTGGGAGCACCTTGGGTGCCCCTGGGGGGTCTCTTGGGGCCTCTTGGGGGTCTCTTGGGGGCCTCCTGGGGGCCTCTTGGGGGGCCTCTTGGGGTCATCTTGGGGCCATCCTGCGGCCTCTTGGGGCATCCTGTGGGCCTCTTGCGGCCATCGTGGAGGAAATCGATCAAATAAGATGGGTTCCTTAATTAGAGCCCCCCCCCCAGGAACTCCAAAAATCGTCTCCTGTACCGCTCTGGGACCGCTCTTGGAGCGCTCTTCGGCGCTCTTGGCGCCGTCATGGGGCTTTCTTGGGCCCTTCTTGGAGCTATCTTGAGCCATCTTGGAGCCATCTTGACGCCTCGGATGTGCATCGCAAGCGAAAAAGTGAGAAACCAAACACATGGATTTTCCATATGGTTTTGAAGCATTTTGGCCTCTTGGATGCATCCTAATGATGCTCGTGTGGGCACTTGGAACCGTCTTGGAGAGTTCTTGGAACGTCTTGGAACATCATGGGGACCATCTTGAGGCATCTTGCGCTATCTTGAGCCATCTTGGAGGGTATCTTGGGCTCCCTGAGGCCCTCTTGGAGCCGTCTTGGGCCATCTTGGGCGCTCCAACGCGCCGCGGAACCCCCTGTCCAGGTCAGCGGGGAGGGGGTAGGGGGAGGGGTAAACCCCTCCCCGAAGGGGAAGAAGGAGGGGTGGAAGAGGAAACGCTCTAAACCACCGACGCCCAGAGGGCTGGTGGGATTGGAAAACGGTCGGGGTGGGCGGGGCGGCGGGGGCGGTGCGACGCCGAAATAAAGTGGTCGGGGCGGAGGGGGCGGGGTGCATTGGGCGGGCGGGGAAGGGGGAAAGGGCCGTGGGCGCGGGACGGCGGGGACCGTGCGACGCCGAAATAAAGTGGTCGGGGCGGAGGGGGGCGGGGTAGAAAAGCCCTAGACGGGGGCGGTGCGATGCCGAAATAAAGCGATCGGGGCGGAGGTGGTCAGGCTGGTGGTGGTGGTGGTGGTGGTGGTGGTGGTGGTGGTGGTGGTGGTGGTTGGCGTGGGTGGGTGGGTGGAGGGGCGGGAGGGGCGGGGCGGCGGGGGCTGTGCGACGCTCAACTGTAATGGTCGGGGCGGGGGGGGCGGTGTACAGAGGGCACTGGGCGGCTGGGGAGGGGGGGGGGTCGAGGGGGCGGGGCGGCGGGGGCGGTGCGACGCTGAAATACAGGTCAGGGTGGTCGGGGTGGAGGGGGGCGGGGTGGAGAGGGCACTGGGCGGGGGGCGGTGCCGCGCTGGTGGTGGTGGCGGTTGCCGCATAAAGTGGTCGGGGCGGGGGGCGGCGGGGTGGGCAGGTTTCTAGGCGGCAGGCGGTGTCACGCTGGTGGCGGTGGTGGTTGGTGTGTAAAGTGTTTGGGACGGAGGGGTGCTGGGTGGAGAGCGCTGGGCGGGGGGCGGTGTCGCGCTGGCCCTGGTGGTGGTGGTTGGCGTGGGATGGGTGAAGGGGCGCGGGGCGGGGGTGTGTGCTGCGGCGAAACAGAAATGGTCGGAGCTCTAGACACCTTGCGCAAGATAATAAAGTGATCGGGGCGGTGGGGGCACTGGGCGGGGGCTCCGCTGGGGCGCGGGGGAACCTTGGGGATGAGGGGGTGACGCGACGCAGAATATAGCGGCCGGGGCGGAAGGGCGACGGGGGGGGGCGCTGGGGAGGGTGGGGCGACGCGACGCGGAATCATATGGTCGGGGCGGAGGGGGTGCTGGGCCGCTGGGGAACGCTGGGGGTGGGGGGGCGGGGGCAGGGGGAGGAGGGTTCGACGCGACGTGGAGGTGTGGAAGGTGCATTCGGGCGGGTGTTCCACTGGGGCGCGGGGGAGCGCTGGGGAGGGAGGTGCTACGCGACGCTGAGTGAAGTCGTCGGGGCGGAGGGGGCACTGGGCTGCCGGGGAACGTCGGGGAGGGGGTGGCTGGGGCGGGGAGGGGCGGTGCGACGCGAGGCGGAACGACACTGTCGGGGCGGGGAAGCACTGGGCGGGGGTTCCACTGGGGCGCGGGGGAACGCCGCGGAGGGGGGTGCGACGCGACGCGGAATGACGCGGTAGGGACGGAGGGGGCATTGGGATGTTGGGCAGCGCTGGGGCTTGGGCGGTGGGACGCGACGCGGAATATAGTGGTCGGGGCGAATCGAGGGGGCGTTGGGCGGGGGTGCCACTGGGGCGCCGGGGAGGGGGGGAGAGCGCGACGCGATTCGGAATGAGGCTGTCGAGGCGGAGGGAGCACTGGGCGGGGGGGGGTTCCATTGCCGCGCGGGGGCACGAGGAGGGTGGTGGGGGGGGGGGCGACGCGACGCGGGGCGAAATGGTCGGGGCGGAAGGTCGCTGGGAAACGCCCGGGAGGGCGTGGCGGGGTCGCGGAATGCAATGGTCGGGGCGGAGAGGGGGGCTGGGCGGAGGTTCCGCTGGGCCGCCGGGGCCAAGGAGGGTTGGGGCGGTGCGACGCTGAATACAATTGTTAGCGCGGAGGGGAGGTTCCACTGGGCCGATGGGGCGCGCTGGGGGGAGGGGGAGGGCGGGCGCGGTGCGACGCGGGACGAAATGGTCGGGGCTGGGCGGAGGTTCCACTGGGCCGCTAGGGCTGGGGCAGGGTGGGAGGGGGGCAGGGAGGGGGGGCAGGCGCCGTGCGACGCGGAACATCATGGTCGGGGCGAAGGGAAGTTCCACTAGGCCGTCGGGGCACGCTGGGGGGGGGTGGGGGCGGCGAGAAGGGGGGATGGGGCGGCGCGCGCTGCGACGCGGTTTAAAATCGTCGGGGCTGAGGGCGCATTGGGCGGAGGCTCGAGGTGGCATTGGGAAGATGTTCCACTGGGCTGCTGGGCCTGGGAAAAAGCGGCGGGGGGGAGGGGGGGAAGGGCGCGGCGCGGCGCGGTGTGAAATTGTCGGGGCGGATGGGGGGCACTGGGCAGAGGTTTTATTTGGCCTCTGGGGCGCGCTGGTGAGGATTAGCGGGGAGGGGGGGCGCGGTGCGACGCTGAATATAATGGCCGAGGCGGAGGGGAATTGGGCGGAGGTTCCACTGGGCCTCTGGGAAACGCTGGGGGGAGGAGGAGATGGGCAAGGTGTGGCGCGGAATAACATTGTCGGGGGCGGAGGTGGCACTGGGCAGAGGTTCCAGGGGGCGGGAGCGGTGCGACGCAGAATGATGGCCGGTCTGGAGGGGGCGCTGGGCGGAGGGAGGGGCGGAAAGGGGTGGCGGGCGCTGCGAGGCGCAGTGTAAAATGGCCGAGTCGGAGGGTGCGCTCGTCGGAGTTCCCCTTGGGCCTCTGGGAAACACCAGGGGAAGGAGGGGGGGTGAGGTGTGGCGCGGAAGAATATGGCCGCGGCGGAGGTGGCATTGGGAGGAGGTCCCACTGGACCGCTGGGGCTGGGGGCGGGGGGCAGGGCGGGGGGGGCGGGCGCGGTGCGACGCAGGATAAAAGGGTTGGGGCGGGGGGGGTACTGGGCGGATTTTCTAGTGCGCCGTTGGGGCGCGGGGGGGGGTGCGGGAGGGGGGCCCGGAACGGGGTGCGCGGTGCGATGCGGAATGACGTATCCATTGGGCTTCTGGGGGGCGCTGGGGAGTGGAGGGGGGGGGTGCGGCGCGACGCTGAAAGACGCGGTCGGGGCGGAGGCGGCGCTGGGCGGGGGTTCTGCTGCGCCACTGGGGCTGGAGGCGCGGAGAAAAGAGGGCGCGGGCGCGGTGCGACGCGGAATAATGTGATCGGGGCGGAGGGGGCGATGGGCGGAAGTCCCACGGGGCCGTTGTGGCCCGCTGCGGAGTCCTGGGGGGGGGTCGGGCGCGGCGGGGGAGGGGCGCGCGGTGCGACGCGCAATGAGTTAGTCGGGGCGGAGGGGGCATTGGGCGGAGGTTCCACTGCGCCTCTGGGGAACGTTGGGAGGGGGTGGAGGGGGGCGCGGTGCGACGCGTAATAAAATGGTCGAAGCGGAGGGGGCACTGGGCGCAGGTTCCACTGGGCCTCTGGGGGAACGCTGGGGAGGAGGAGGGGCGGTGCGGTGCGAGGCGGAAGAACGCTGTCGGGGCGGAGGTGGCACTGGGCGGGGGTTCCACTGGACCGCCGGGAATGGAGGGGGCGGGAAGGAGCGGGGATTGGGGTGGCGGGCGCGGTGGGGCGCGGAGTGGAACAAACAGTCGGGGCCAGGGGGGGTGCTGGGCGGAAGTTCCACTGGGCCGTTGGGGCACGCTGGGGAGGGTTGGGAGGGGGAAGGGGGACGGGGCGGGCTGGGAGGGCCTGGAGGGGGGGGGGAAGGGGGCGCGGGCGCGTGCGACGCGGAATAAAAGTTTCGGGGCGGAGGGACGCTGGGCGGAGGTTCATGGGGAGGGAGGGGGGGGCGGGTGCGGTTCGACGTGAATGAATTGGTCGGAGCGGAGGAGGCACTAGGAAGAGGTTCCACTGCGCCTATTGGGGTGGCGGGCGCGGTGGGGCGCGGAATAAAACATGCGGTTCGGGCGGGGGGGTGCTGGGCGGAAGTTCCACTGGGCCGTTGGGCACGGGCAGGGTTGGGGGGGAAGGGGGAAGGGCGGGGCTGGGGAGGGGCGGGGGGGGCGGGGAGGGGGCGCGGGCGCAGTGCGACGCGGAAGAAAACTGTTGGGGCGGAGGGGGCACTGGGCGGAGGTTGCACTGGGCCATTGGGGAACACTGGGGAGGAGTGGGGGAGGGGCCGGGCGGGCAGAGTGGGGGGCTGGGGAGGGGCGGAGGAGAGCGGGGGCCAAGGGAAAGCGGGTGCGGTGCGACGCGGGATAGAGTAGTCGGGGCGGAGGGGGCACTGGGCACTGGGCGATGTTTCCATTGGGCCACTGGGGAACGCTGGGGAGGGATAGGAGGGGTGTGGGGGGCAGGGAGACATGGGGCGCGGAATGAAGTAGCCGGGCCGGAGGGGGCACTGGAAAGAGGTTCCGTTGCGCCGTCGGGGCGCGTTGGTGTGGACTCGGAGGGGAGCGGGCAGGGGCGAGATGGTAAGGAGCAGGGAAGGGGGCGTGCGCGGTGCGACGCGGAATGACGCGGAAGAAAGTGGTCGGGGCGGAGGGGGCATTTGGCGAAGGTTCTATTGGGCCACTGGTCAAAGCTGGGGAGGGGCAGGATGGGGGCGGGGCAGGAGGGGGCACGGTGCGTCGCGGATGAAATTGGTCTCAGCTCTAGACAACGTGTGCAAGGTTCCGCTGGGGCACTGAGGAAAGCTGGGGAAGGGCAGGAAGGGGCGGGGCAGGAGGGGGTGCTGTGCGCGGAATAAAATGGTCGGAGCTCTACACCCTGTGCAAGATAATTTTAATATACACCCCGAATAGCCTAATAGCCCCACATAATTAAACGTATAGTCGAGAAGTCGTCCCCAAACTATGTTTGGACCTTGTTTTGAAACAAGTGCCCTTCAACATAGCCCCAAATAGTTGCAACTTGTCCATACATCGCCCCCACATTATTTTTGGATTCGTTGTTCGAAGATTCCTCTGTAGAGGCCGCGCGCCCCGAGGCAGAGGTGCCGCCTGCGTCGCCACGGGCACCGCCGCTTCGCGAGGCCCCATTCCGTCCGCCATCGCGGGGCGAGGCAGTCGCGGGCGCCCGCCCGGGCTCCACGCGCCGCGGGCCCGGCCTGGCCCTTGCCACCTCGAGACGGGGGGCGTCCCGACATGGCAACTGGAGCCCAAGTGGCTACGGACTCTCTCTCTCTCTCTCTCTTTCGCTGTGTCGCTCTCTCCTCCATGTGTGTCTGTATCGTTGTGTGTGTGGTGGTGGGCGGATGGGGGGGTGTCCTCTGTCTGCCAGCTTGCCTGTCTGCCTGCTTGCCTGTCTGCCTGCCTGCCTGTTTGCGTACCTGTCTGTATGTCAGCCTGTCTATGCCCTCTCTCTGCCCTTTTCTTGTTTCTCTCTCTCTCTCGCTCTTTTCCGCCGAGGGGCAGCAAGCCCGCGAACCTCCTGGACTCCCGTAAGCCCGAAGTGAGCATCCTAGCCGCTCCGCGGGGGCGTTCGGGTCGGGGGCCTGCCTGAGGAGCAGGGGCGAGAGGAGAGGTTTGTTCTCTGAGTCGTCATCGTCTTCGTCTTCTCCTCTTTCTCCCCCTGTTTCTCCTTCGCGCCTCCCCTCTCCTCCCACGTCCGTCCCATTCTCCTCCTGCTCCTGCTTCTCTTCCCTCCTCTTCCTCCGTCCTCCCTCCTTTTCTCTACGACAAACCCTCACAGCACTCGAGCACAAGACGTCACATTCATATGTATAAACCTGTGCGAAATATCTTCTGCCATCCCGGCCGGCCGGCCGAAGACTGGGCTTTTTGCTGAAGCCGCCTTTTGGAATAGTTGGACGGCGCCAATGTTGACGATGTAGTGTGGTAGCCGGTTGAACGCTCGAATCAGGCCAAAGATAGTCTGTCGTAGACTAGGTGGGTGGCCCAGCTCGATTGGGTCTAACAGAGCCTTTCTGAGGAAACTCTGCCAAGCGATTCAAGATGGCCCGCAGCTGGACGGAATAGTTCTGCAAGGCCAGGAGGCGCCAAGCCGGAGGCAACCTTGCATAGCGTGCCCAGAGCCGCCATGCCCCCACATTTACCAAGCAGGGCAAGATGGTACTCTCGCAAAGCAGACTCTGCCGATAAGCCGACCTCGTCTAAAAAACAAGACTGCAAGTCGTCGAACTGCTTCAAAATGCTCCTATTGGCGTGGTAGACCGCTAGGGTGGCGCCCTCGAGGTAGGACAGGCTGTGACAGGCTGTAACATTCGTACAACCTGACCATTTCTTTCACACCGTAGTGGCGCTTTGTCCAGAGAAGAGCCGGGTGACGCCAGCCGGCTTCCGTGGCAAAGTGCTGCACGGCCGAATGCATTACCAGGCGTGGGTCGAAAACGTTGGGTATTTAGAATGGTCCGGCATGTGGGCTACTCGCATCTAAGATGTGCATGCTCCCCCTGAACGGTTCGAACACTACTTGCTTGGCAGACCCCCGCGCATGTAAAGCATATTGATAGGCGCAGAGAGATTCGAGCACCGAGCTGTCCAGGGACGCATGGCTGAACACACGCCAGCAGGTCAAATCATCTGTAAGTGGCGTTTCAACGAAATTCAAGAGTGAAATTGCCTCCCGCGCGTGGGTCAAGCACGGTACCCCGGAACACAATTTTTGAAAGTTGAACAGAATATGAAAGCACGCCATCAACAACAATAAGAGTTGTTCTGGGTGCGAGCCCAGACGAGATAACCTTCAGGGACGTGTCGTCCACGCCCTGTTTTGAGTTTCTCCACCAGACGCTCCGCCCGCACGTGGTCGAACGCGCCTGAAACATCTGAGCATTGTATGCCAACGCGTCTCGACCAATCGCCCACAGCCAGCTGCACACGGCGAAAATGAGGGCATCCTTGTAACCACGGCTTCTATGATACGCGAATTGGTTGTCATCGTATCCCTTCGTGGCTTCACAGAAGGACATAAGAAAACTAGCCAAAACCTTTTCCCCTGGCTTCGGAATGTGTGACGTCATGCGTATGCCTCTACAGTTGTCAGGCTACGAGTGGCTGCGTCGCTCACACAAAAGGAACAAACAGTGGATTCTCCATGCGTAAGACCAGGCGTCAATCTTGAGGATGGGGCGGCCCTTAACTGCTATGGGTGGCGCAAGTTGCTGAGCACACCGCTTCAAGAGGCGGGCAGAAATGGCGTCTGGACCATGTCCAGGGTCTTCTCGCAGTGTCCGTAGTACTCGAAGTATTGCACGTGTTCGAGTGGGTGCAAAACCAGATATGTGTTGATCCAGAGTTTGCCGTGCTGTTGAGAATTAATTTCCCATTGCGGCTGGCAAACCAAGCTTTGCATAGAAGGCCGCCTTGAACAAGTTCGCCTTGATTTCAGGGGCGGTTGCCCCGTGGCCGTCGCCATCCACGGGAGGAGGTATCGACGAAGACGAAGACTGGCCAGCCCAGAGCAGCAGTGCGGTACACAGAGACCACAATTTCTTCGAAGAAGGTTTCACAGCAAGGATCCGTTGCCGAGTACGGGCCGCGTGCTTCGCATGCTCGTCCCGGAGCCCCCGCGAACATGCACGTTGCTTCCGCGCGTGCTCCGCCGTGGCGGTAGCCCGGGCCATCTCGTCCATCAGTCTCTGGCGCCCGTCAGTCAACCACGGATAAGAATACATACTACAGGAAGCCCAGTTGCGGGACGACACATGCACATCTCCGCCGCGGGCTGGTTTCCTGCCGTGGGCCATGGGGCTGTTGATCCGGTTATTGTTTCGGCGGTGGGTTGCAGGGTGCGTCAAATCTCGCGGCAATGACACGTCGCGTTTGCAGCGCCATGTGGGCGCGCGGTTGCATGCGCCCAAGCAGCACATTCACGCGGTGTATATTTCGGGCTGGCGCGTAGAGTTCCCGGGGATCCGCCGTTTTAATGCGCCGCCACCGCGCTGCCATAGGGTGCCAGGGGGCAATTTTTTGCGGCCGCATGCGGCCGCCATCTGCGCGCATGACCACGCGTCGAGCGCTTGCGCTTGGCGGGGGCAGGCAGTGGCGCCCCTGGCTGTGCGATCGCGCGCGCAATTTCTTCGCGTCCTATGGCCGCTTGATGGCGGCGTAGATATTGGGGCCCCTCGCTGGCGTCGCGGAATTCGGGCGCTTACCATCATGGTGCGACGTTCTGAACATTTCGCCGCGGCAGCATCGCCATCGCAGTCGCGAAAGGACTCCCACCAATTAGTGGGCGACAGAGCATTGCGCGAACCTGCCCAGTCGTCAGCACCGACATGTCAACGCTCTCTAACGACAGGCCCAGGGCGGGGCGCGCGCCGCGAGACTCGCGCGAGCACAATTCTATCGTCGCTGCGCTGATGCCTGAGAGAGCCCGGTAGGGCACATTAGATAACCAGCAATGGCAAGATCCAGCAGATAGCTCGGCGAGCGGGTTGCTCCACCCTCTCCGCGCGCCCCATGTGCTGGCGTTCACGTCGCCCGCGATCCCCGCGGCAGTGGCCGCGCGCTTGAGGGCCCCCCGCCCGAACTCCAGAGAGCGGACGCGAGCAACTTCGCGCGGTGGGGGCGGCGCCGCGCGGCGAGCAGCGGTGGGCCTTGATCCGAGTGAACAATTTGCGCTTTGCGCGCGGTCATCTGAATCTGAAGCATGCGCAATGCAGTCAGAAAGCGCCTCCGTCGCCTCCCCCCCCGCCCTGCCCGCCCGCCGCGGATGTCTGAGCGTCGCTCTTTGCGCGTGGATAGCGAGCGGGGTGTCAGAAACGTTCTTGCAAGAGGGACTGCATATGGAAACCCAGCCTGCCCCAACCCAGCCTGCTCCAGACGGCCGCGCAATTCAGCGCGGCGATGCGCGACGCCGCGCCAGGCGACGTGCGTGACGGCGATGCTCGCGTGAGGGGCTGGCGACTCGAGCTCGGATTTCCACGAGACGTCGCGGGGGGGGCGCTGGGGGCCCGCGGGCGTTCCACGGGCGGCCACTGCGCAGGAGAGCATCGATGGAACGAGGGCCAACTGGCGGGGCCGCTCTTCTGCCGCGCAGTGGGGGGCGAACCAGGCGTCGCGACTTTGCTGGGGCGGGCGAACTGCGCCCTGGAGCGCGGCCCAAAGCCGCCCCTGCGGGATGGGGAGCTGGGGAAGAGATGGCAGGGCGGTGCCATTCAGGTCGTTTTGGCACTACCTGAATGCCGCCCCCATGCTGCATGCCCAACTGCAACGCGGGACTTAAACGAGTCATTGGGCGTTTGGGCGGCGATGGCAGGGGCGATTGCGTTTTTTTTTTTTTTTTTTTTTTTTTTTTTTTTTTTTTTTTTCTTCTCTCTCTCTCTCTCTCTCTTCTCTCTCTTCTCTCTCTCTCTCTCTCTCTCTCTCTCTCTCTCTCTCTCTCTCTCTCTCTCTCTCTCTTTCTCCTCTCTCTCTCTCTCTCTCTCTCTCCTCTCTCCTCTCTCCTCTCTCCTCTCTCTCTCTCCTCCTCTCTCTCTCTCTCCTCCTCTCTCTCTCTCTCTCTCTCTCTCTCTCTCTCTCTCTCTCTCTCTCTCCTCTCTCTCTCTCTCTCTCTATCTCTCTGCTTTCTCTCTTTCTCTTTCTCTCTCTCTCTCTCTCTATCGCTCTCTCGCTCTCTCTCTCTCTCTCTCTCTCCTCTCTCTCTCTCCTCTCCTCCCTTCTCCTTCTCCTTCTCCTTCTCCTTCTCCTTCCTTCTTCCTTCTTCTTTTCTCATATTCTTCTTCTTATTAGTCCCTCTCTTCCTCTTCTTCCTCTTCTTCTCTTCTTCTCTCCCTCTTCCTTCTTCTTCTTATCTTCTTATTCTTGTTATCATCTCTTCTTCTTTCTTCCTTCTCCTTCTCTTCTTCTCTCTCTCTCTCTCTCTCTCTTCTCTCTCTCTCTCTCTCTCTCTCTCTCTCTCTCTCTCTCTCTCTCTCTCTCTCTCTCTCTCTCTCTCTCTCTCTCTCTCTCTCTCTCTCTCTCTCTCCTCTCTCAGGGGCGTTGTGTTCGGTGGCCAGAAGTAATTTCCAAACTAAACGATTGCGCGTGAGACGCGCGCGCTGCTGGGGAAATGTCGCCGCGGGCGGGGGGGGGCCAGTGCGAGCGAGAGGCGCAACTTGGGGCCCGCCGTGGAACGCGCAAATTTTCGACGGAGCCGAAGGAGGGCTTCGCCCCAGCGCCGCTCCGACTTCCTGTGCGGGGCCAACCGTCGCCCCCACCAGTTGGAAATTCGCGCCTGCCGATCTAGGGGATAAGGGGGAACTGGGCGGTTCCATCGCCCGCCCGTCCACCTGTTGCGGGGTCGCCGAGCTTGGGGAACACGGCGTCCGCCGTGAGCTCGGCCTGCTCTCGGCAGTTCGCCCGGGCCCGTCGCGCGGGCGCCGTGGGCCCGCGCGCGCGGGCCGCCCGAAACCCGCTCGGTCGCAGATTAGGGTTCACGTTAGTTTCCAGGCCGACACGGCGATTTCCAGCGTGGAGGGCGCAGAATTGCCCGCGCGCGCAAGCGCGCGCGTGGGGGGTCTTGTTTTGCCGACAGAAGCAGAAGAATCGCCGCGTTAGTTTGGGAAATCTGGAGAACCCTTCACGGCGACCGACTGGGCTTCAAGGTGCCATTGGGTTTGTCTTATGTTTTCTTCGATGAACAATACGGGGGCCCCAACGTGCGCGCCCTGTGGATCCTGTATTGTCCGCAATAGAAAGATCGGCATGTTGGCCCAAACTAGAGTGAACCGTCAACGGCGACAGAGCCGATTTCGGGTGAACCGCGCCCGCGCGCGGGTGTCCATGGTAACCCGCGCGCGTGTTGAGCCTTCTGCGTCGTTGACACTCGACAAGTCTCCATGCTGGCTCGGACACTAGGGTGCGTTCTTCGTGGGCCGATTGGGTTTGCGAATTAAGGTCGGCGTTGGCTTATGCTTTTCTACGCGGGGCAATGCCGAACACACCGCGCGTGCGCGTGGTGGGTCCTGCATTGCCTACGCAAACTGCATCGCCACGTTCGCCTGGGAAGTTAAGTGGCCCAACGACGACGACCGGTTGGATTTCCTTGGGCGTCCAATGTGACGTTGGATTTGTCGCATGTTTTCTTAAAGCAGAACAGTGCAGGAGCCCCCCCCCCCCCCCCCCCGCACCACCCCGCCCCCGCGCGCGCGCGCCCGCCCACCCACGCGCGCGCGCGAGTGGGGAGTGCTGTTTTGGATGCCACAGCAGACCTTTGACTGTGTCCGATGAGATTTGCATGTCGACTTTGGTTCACGTGTATGTTTTTTTATGCACGGTAATACAGAGCTCACCGCGCGCGCGAGCGTTGAGTTTGTGCATTCCCTACCTAGGCTCTGCCTAGAAGGGTTCTTACTCGGTAAACTTAAAAGGGCCGGGCGGCGCAACTCGCCCCGGGCGGTTCCCCCAGTATCCGTCCCGCGGTTCCCCCAATTGCGCCCCCTTAGCTTAGCGTTGCTTATCTCATCTTAGCTTAGCTTATTTCATCTTAGCTTAGCATAGTTCCCTACCTAGGCCCTGCCTTGAGGGTTCTTATTTTGTTTGCTTAGAAGGGGCCGGGCAGTGTAGGCCGCCCTGGGCGGTTCCCCCAGTCCCCGCCCCGCGGTTCCCCCAGTTGCGCCCCTCGCTTTAGCTTTAGCTTTCGCTTCAGCTTCAGCTTCAGCTTTAGCTTCAGCTTCAGCTTCAGCTTCAGCTTCAGCTTTAGCTTTAGCTTAGCTTTAGCTCTAGCTTTAGCTTAGCTTTAGCTTTAGCTTAGCTTTAGCTTAGCTGTAGCTTAGCTGTAGCTTAGCTGTAGCTTAGCTGTAGCTTAGCTGTAGCTTAGCTGTAGCGTAGCTGTAGCTTAGCTGCAGCTTAGCTGTAGCTTAGCTGCAGCTTAGCTGTAGCTTAGCTGCAGCTTAGCTGTAGCTTAGCTTTAGCTTTAGCTTAACTTTACCGTTACTACTAATGCTGCTTTCCTAGGGGCTCCAACTCCTAGGTAGGGTCGCACTGGGATAATTGTCCAACGTAGGAAAGACCCGCATGCTGGCTTGGAAACTCAAGCGAACCCTCGATGGTGGCAAAGCGGATTTCGGGTGACCCGCGCCCGCGCGCGGGTCGCCCGATGGCCACCGGGTGCGCGCGCTAAAAGTTCAGCAGGGACCACAATCACAGGGCTCGGCGCTAAAGTAAATTATTTACGCTTCGCGTATCCCCACCAGCCCATCTCACAACAGCAACTCTTGCGAAGCATGCCGACAGTCGTGTTTTGCAGGCGTGTGTCCGCTTGGCCCCGCATATCTCCCCTGTTACTCCTTCCTCCCGCCTCCTTGTACATCCTCCTTGTGGGGGGAGCGGGAGAAGGACGAGGCGGAGGAGGAGGGAGAGAAAGCGCTCCTCGTGGTTTGAGTCGTTTGGGCTTTCTCGTCCTGGTGTGAGTCGTTCGGGCCCTTCTTCCTGGTGTGAGTCGTTCGGGCTCTTCGTGGTGTGAGTCGTTCGGGCTCTTCGTCCTGGTGTGAGTCGTTCGGGCTTCTCGTGGTGTGAGTTGTTCGGGCCCCTCATCCTGGTGTGAGTCGTTCGGGCCCCTCCTCCTGGTGTGACTCGTTCGGGCTCCTCGTGGTGTGAGTCGTTCGGGGCCCGCGTCGTGGTGTGAGTCCTTCGGGCTCCTCGTGGTGTGAGTCGTTCGGGCGCCTCGTCCTGGTGTGAGTCGTTCGGGCCCCTCCTTGTGGTGTGAGTCGTTCGGGCTCTTCGTGGTGTGAGTCGTTCGGGCCCCTCGTCCTGATGTGAGTCGTTCGGGCTCCTCGTGGGGCCTCTTGGGGGCCTCTTGGAGCCTCGTGGGGCCTCTTGGGGGCCTCTTGGGGGCCTCTTGGGGGCCTCTTGGGGCCTCGTGGGGCCTCTTGGGGGCCTCTTGGGGGCCTCTTGGGGGCCTCTTGGGGCCTCGTGGGGCCTCTTGGGGGCCTCTTCTTGGGGGCCTCTTGGGGGCCTCTTGGGGCCGCTTGGGGGCCTCTGGGGGGCCTCTTGGAGGCCTCTTGGGAGCCTCCTGGGGGCCTCTTGGGGCCATCTTGGGGCCTCTTGCGACCTCCGCAGAAGCGCAAAGGAGAGCTGCCCCCTGAGAAGGACAAAATGAGCCCAAAACCTTCGTACAATCAATGATTTTGCTATGAGGGAAGATGAGCGCGGCCCCCTCAGAAGGCCAAAATGGGGCCAAAACCCTCGTAAAATCAATGATTTCTGCTTCAAAGAAGAGCAGAGGGGCCAAACTCCCCCCCCCTCGGGGCCAGAATCCTCGTGAGGGTCGTCGTTTTTTGACCCTCCCAGGAGTCGAAACAGACCCCCCTGACCACCCGCCGGGGCCTCTCTCCAGGCCCAGGGGGAGGGGGTAGGGGGAGGGGTAAACCCCTCCCCGAAGGGGAAGATAGGGGGTTGAGGACAGAGCGGGCTCTCTAAACCACTCACGCCCAAAGGGCTGGTGGGACTTTCAGCGGCGACTGATAGGGCGTCTAAACCGACAGATGTCCTAGGGTATATCTTCCAGAACGGACAGTACAGGACTCTTCGCACTCGCGTGAGCGGAGAGTTCTGTATTTTCTACAGTAGAGAGGGTGCCATGCTGGCCTGGAAACTAAAGTCAACCCGTAACGGTGGCAGAGCGGACTTCGGGTGACCTTCGCCCGCGCGCGCGGGTCATGCACCTCGCGCGGGTGACCATGATCACCCGCGCGCGCGGGAATAGTTCGGCAGCGCCCGCCGTCGAACAGTCGCCAGTTGGGCTCGGAAGTTGGAGTTGGCCCGTAACCGGAACCGATTGGATGTCCAAGCAATCGCGGGTGTTTGGGATGCGTTCTACGATGGCCCATGCAAAACTTCGCCCGAGCGCGCGCGCGCGAGGGGGGGTCAGCATTGATCCCAACAAATGGCTACTACGCCCCCGCGAGGTTCCTCAAGTGATCCAAGACGGCTCGCGAGACTGCGAACATTGGCAGATATGGCTTCCAAAACCTCCAAGATGGTCTCCAACATGGCCAGGATGGCCCTACCTAACCTCCAAGGCGACCCAGCATGGCCGTCAAGACGATCTAAACGATCCCAAATGGCCATATGACGACCCAAGATGGCTCCCAAATGGCCCCAGATGGCCCCAAAAGGACAAGGAAGACGCACACAGAAGCCCCCCAGCAGGCCCCAGCAGTCCCCCAAGAGGCCTGTTCCTCCTCTTTGTCGTTCCTCCTCATCCTCTCCTCTCTTTTGTTCCTCGCAACGTCTCCCTGCGCGCCCCCCCCCGTGTCCTCGCAGCGGCGGGGGGAACACAGTCCCATGCCATGTTCTATACTCTACATGTCCTTATGTATGTATATGCCCTCTCATTTTCTCTGTCTGTCTGTCTGTCTCTCTCTCTCTCTCCCTTTCTCTCCCTCTCTCCACCTCTTTTCTCTCTCCTTCGTTTCTTCTCCCACTCTTTTTTTCTTCCTTTCCTCGGTCTTGTCTCTTCCTTTTTCTACTCTGAATTCGCTGTTGCTCCCGTGCGCCTGTGCGCGCCGCTGTCCTCTCTCTAAGGTAAATGTGCTATTTGTTTTTTGACGCGCATTCTTCGCTCCAGGGGCATGGCCGCGGTCAAGCAATTGAGGCCCGGGAGCGGCGCAAATTCAGGCGCCCAGGGCCGTCGACCGGAGAGCTGGAAACCCGGCTGCCCACCGAAGCCGGCCCGGCACCCCGAAGTGGGAAACGGGGGGTCCAGGCGCCCGCCGAAATCGGCCCGGTTCGTTCGCCAGATTTTTCGGCATCTGCCACGGGATTTTCAATGCAAGCACTGTTGGGGAGCATGAAAAACAATGCAGACGCGACGCGCGCCCTCCCGCGCACCCATGTCCTCGCCAGTTCGGGGAGACCGTTGCGGCGCGAAAGAATGCGACGCCTCCGCCCCGACCCCGCCGATATCCGGGGAAGGCCGTGAACGCGGCCGTGTTCGCGGCCACGCGGCCATGAACGCAGCCAGGTTCGCGCTGCTGGGCGGCGCCCAAAAACATTGAATTTTCATTGGTGTTCTCAGAAATCGCCGTTAACATGGCCATGTCAACGGCCACCTGGCCGTTAACGCGGGCGCGTTGACGGCCAACTGGCCGTTAACACGGGCGCCGTGACGGCCAGATTGCCGCTGGCGTGCCCGTGTTAATGTTCGCGCGCGGGGCTCAATTACCCTGGCGACGTACCCAACCCCTGCGCAAAAGCGGGGCGCAAATAGTTTAGGATACTTTATAAGGGGGCGATGACGGAGCGAGGGTTACATATGTCTGCAGACGGCATTCGGGAGACTCGCAGGACATTGGCTACAGGAAAAGGGCTTGATAAAGCTGATGATTTACAATTCCTGAGCACTCCTAGCCACTTCGAAAACGGGGATCACAGCAGGCCTCGAAAGTGGCGACAGGTTCACAGATCGCAGCCCCGCAGGGACGGCGAGGTCTCATTTGAATCTGCCCGTGGCCCTCACTGTGCTGGGCCCCCCAGCAGGCCTCGAAAATGGCGGCAGTTTCGCAGATCGCAGCCCCCCAGGGATGGCGAGGTCTAATTTGAATCCGCGCGTGGCCCTCACTGTGCTGGGCCCCCCAGCAGGCCTCGAAAGTGGCGACAGTTTCACAGATCGCAGCCCCCCAGGGAGGGCGAGGTCTAATTTGGATCTGCCGCGATTACCCTCTATGCTGGACCCCCCAGCAGGCCTCGAAAGTGGCGACAGTTTCACAGATCGCAGCCCCCCCCCCAGGGATGGCGAGGTCTAATTTGAATCTGCCGCGATTACCCTCTATGCTGAGCCCCCCAGCAGGCCTCGAAAGTGGCGACAGTTTCACAGATCGCAGCCCCCCAGGAATGGCGAGGTCTAATTTGGATCTGCCGCGATTACCCTCTATGCTGGACCCCCCAGCAGGCCTCGAAACTGGCGACAGTTTCACAGCCCCCCGCAGGCAAGACAGAAAGAGGCAGGAAAGAGGCGGGAGGCGGGAGGAGGAAAGACGCGACCACACTGCTCTATTCAAAACGAATACCCAACCAAGGAGGGTTGGAGAAAAACATGTTTTTCATTTGTTTTCTGAGGAATCTCCGTTGACGCGGGCGCGCCAACGGCCACCTGGCCGTTAACGCGCGCGCGTTGACGGCCAGATTGCCGTTGACACGCCCGCGTTAACGATCGCGCGCGGGGCTCAACAATGTTATTCCTTGGTTTTCTCAGGAGTTGCCGTTAACGCGGCCGCGTGTATGGCCACTTGGCCATTAACGCGAGCACGTTAACGGCCAGTTTACCGCGGGCGCGAGCGCGTTAACGGCAAATCGCCGTCAACGCGCCCGCGTTAACGCCCAGGTTGCTGTGAACGCGGCCGCGTGGAGGGCGATTTCTGAGAAAACCCAGGAACAATCAAGGTTTTGAGCCCCGCGCGCGAGCGTTAACGCGGGCGCGCCAACGGCACTTTGGCCGTCAACGCGCCTGTGTTAACGGCAAGTTGGCTTTTAACGCGCCCGTGCTAACGGCCAGGTGGCCGTCAGCACGGCCATGTTATCGGCTATTCTTCAGAAAACCAATGGGACATCAATGTTTTTGGGCGCGGCCCAGCAGCGCGAGCGTGGCCGCGTTTACAGTCATGCGATGGTGAACGCAGCCTCCTTGGGCCATCGCGGGGATTTTGTGGCGCTATGTCGGAGGCCTCGTGGCCCTTGTTGGTGTTTGTTTGAGGCCCTCCTTGGGCTCTTGGAGCTTCTCGGGGCCATCTGCGCTCCGCCAAGTTGGCGCCATCTGATATCACACTGACTGGGACAACCTCTCGGGCACCATCTGCCCCGAGAAGGCGAAGCCTCGCCCGAGCGGCTATCCCGCTCAATGCGAAAACGCATGGGGCGCCATCTTCTGTCCCATTCAGTGGGACAGCAGGTTTCGCAAAGGGCGATGCATTCATAGGGCGGTCTTGGGGCCTTCCCGGGCTTCGCCCGGGCCTCTCTTGGGCCATCTTGGAGCCATCTTGAGGCCGCGAGGAGCCCGTCGGACGTGAACGGGCGAGAGACTTGCACACATTGAAATTTCACAATGGTTCTGAATGATTTGCGCCTCTCGGGGGCCTCCTTGGGGGGCTCGGAGGGCACTTGGAGCCGTCCCGGGGCGGTTTTGGGGCGCTTGGATGCATCGTGGGAGTTATGGTGAACGATCTTGGGCTATCCTGAGCGATCCTAGAGGCTACGCGGAGCCCTCTTTGAGCCATCTTGGACCATCATAGGCGCTCTAACTTCTCGTGAAAAGCCTCGTCCAAACCTGGCGGAGGGGGGGCAGGGGGAGGGGGGGATCCTTGTCCAAAGGGGCAAAAGTGGGTTTAGCAGGACGAGCTCCCTAGACCATCACGCCATAAAGGGCTGCTGGGATTTCTCACCTTTCGGGTATCCCCACCGAGCCATCCCAAAAACCAATTGGGGATTTGGCCTGATCAGGAATGCGTTGCCGGATGCGCCGCAGCTTCGAATCGCATCCGTCCTCGCAGATTTTGTCGAATGAGCAGGAGGTGGATGTGGATGGGAGATCATCTAACCACGAGGAGGAGGAGGAGGAGGAGGACGAGTGCAAGCAGGAGGTTGAGCAGGAGGGTGATGAAACGGCGGAAGCGGATGAGGGAGGGGAGGAAGGATCGACGACGCCGACGACGACCACAGGAGTCAACATAAACACCTTTGCGATATTTCGCTGTGGGAGCATCTTGGGCGCGCCTTGGGGCCATCGTCGCGTCCTCCTGGGAACGCTTTTGGGGGCCAGGGCGCTGCAGACCGTAGTAGATAATAGCAGACGCGCTGCCCTGCCACCTATGTGCACCCATTTCTCGCTTGGACGCTTTGCCATTCAGGTGTCCACGATGCTCGCTCGTACGACCTGCCATCTAGGTATCCACATCCGGCGCCCTGTTATGCCGTGCCGACGCGGCGTTGCAGTTGCAGAGACAATGTTCAACCGAGATGCATTGACCAGGGAGGCGTGCCAGCATGCAACTCTAGAAGGAGGGGACACCCAAAGGAGCATCAGTACATGCTGCTTGGCAATTGCCCCGGCGTGTGTTCCGCCTCCCTCATACTCTTCATCGCCGCTCCTCTCCTCATCGTCTTTGCCCTCCTCCTCTTCTTCCTCCTCTACCTCCTCGTTGCCCTTCTTCCCTCCCCACTCCCAGTATGCCTCATGTCCTCCTCCTCCTCCTCCTCCTCCTCCTCCTCCTCCTCCTCCTCCTCCTCCTCCTCCTCCTCCTCCTCCTCCCCCCTCTCTCCCTCTCCCTCTCCCATCTCCTCATGGAACCCGTTCGTTTTTGACTTCCTTCATCTCTCCCCCCCCGCACCTGTAGCACGTCCTTTCGCTCTTGCCCGCTGGCCCGATCTGGACGTCGCAGAAGCGCTCTTGCCCGCCTCGCGGCGAGCGATTGCGCTGCCGCCGATGCCGCCCTCCCGCCTTTTGCCCCCACCCCCCCCGCCGGCCCGCGATGCTCGCGGGGGCCGCATCCGCCACCCGCGCCCTCGCCATCGAAGACCCTATGAAAAGGGGATGTGACGGCGCGCAGGAAACGCGCGAGCGAATTGCAGGAAAACATATTGGGGCACAGGAGCTACGGAGGTCGAGTGCATGTGGGTAAAAAGTCGAATCGGCACTGCAATGGTTTAGTTTTTCACGATAGTTGCGCGCTTCTGCGCCCCGCCCGCTTGTTCGCATTCCCGCGCACCCGTCCCCGCGCCGCGCTTATCCCCAGAAATTTCACGTTGAAGTTGACCATGCAACCTCCATGTTCACGACCACGTGCCACTCGCGCAAGCCGCCCACCTTCCACAAGATCCCCACGTCCTTTTTGGAGGCGACGCCCGACTCCTTGATCAAGCTCCCCGCTTTCCTGAGGGCGTACTTCCACTTCTTCGGGTTCTGCGTGCGGGATGTTTTCATAAAGAACACGTCGCCTTCGCTTTTGATATCCATCTTGAAAGCCTGGACGCGGGGCAAAAACGGTTTAGCCAAGTCAGGGTTGCAGAATTCGACCCACGATCCCTTGGACATTCTCTGGTTGTTGTAGGGACCTGTGAAATCGCCGCCGAAGCCGATTGGGCGGAAAGGGGAAAATGCATCATCAAAAACTTCCCCATATCCTGGATCCTGGTGTCCTCTGAGACTGTTTCAAACCACCCCACGAAAGCGACGCGACGGGAGGCAGGGCATAACCGACTTTCTCTAGGGCCCGCGCGGAATGATTGGATCGGCGCCCTGGCTCCCCTAGCGGCGCCTCTGGCGCCGCCCTTGGCGAGCTCCGCACGCCAAGGAGGGGTCCACCGCATGTCCAAGAACTCCGCGCAGATCTCCAAAACATTAAGTGTAAATTTTCAGTGGTTGATTCCTCCATTTTTCCTTCCCTCCCACTTCCTTTCGTTCCTCGTGACCACGTTGCGGGGGGGGGCCTCTCTGGGCTGCTCTCTGGCCCGAAGCCTCTCGTGCCTCTCGTGCCTCCAGGCTCCCTGTGACATGGGCCGTGGGCTGTCGGTCGTGGCCCGTGCCCCTCTCGCACTTGCACGCGCTGACGTCCTGAGCAGCGTGCGCATGCGATATTTCGTCGGAGAATAAACCCTAGAACACAATCGGTCGGCGTTCCGCTGGGATTTTTTGTATGTGCGCTGGGCCCCCCTGGCGGCGCCTCCGACGCCGCCTGGCCCAGCTGCCCAGCACCGATCCAAGACAACTCCGCGTGGACCTCCGACAGTGCATGCTTGCGGTAGGCTCGTGCTGCGTTGGCGCGCCGGCGACGCCGGCGAAGGCGTTCAAAGCTGAATTCTGCGATGCGGAAGCACCGAGGGACGCGGTGACGCCACTGGACCCGGCCGAACTCAAGCTTGAGCGGTCGGGGCCGCGATCGGTTCAAGGTTGAGCGATCGACGCTGTGTCAAAATCTTTGTGCGCGCCGACGCCGCGCGAACTTACAGTATGCCTTCTTGAGTTCCTTGATTTGTTTAATCTCCGCGTCGTACAGCGTGAGTGACGACTTCTCTCCGAAGCTCGCGAGCCAAAGCTTCCTGCTGCAGGGGAACGGGGTATGCGGCTTTCTGGGTTGCCTCCTCCCCGGCCCGTTCTTTCAGCCTCGGCCGCTCTTGCTTTGATGGCTTTTTGGGAACTTTGCTTCACTCGATGCTCTCCTGATTTCTGCCCAACGGTGCGGAGATGCGATGCTAGAAGTCTGCAGCTGAGAAGGGGTCTTGTGGAACCGAAGCAGCAGTACGCCAAGGAAGGATAGGCGGTGCTAAGTGGTTCCGGTTTCCCGTCCTGCGCTACGGGCGTCTGGGGAAAAGATCCCAGAGCCATTTGTGTTTTTTGGCGATAACAGGCGTTCCCAGTGGGGTGGAGTTGGAGAGGGAGCCCGTAACGTCACGATTCGCGCCAGTTCCGTTTGGTAGTGGTTCGGGTGAGCTGGAGACAGCTAGGATGAGCTGGGGATAGTTTAGGGCATTGGTTGAGTAGCAGGTTGCCAGTGTCATGATCGCTCCCGAGCGTCACATTACGCATGCCAACACCAGCAATATGTCTGTGAGCACCCCGGCAGTCAGTCTGGTTCTCTCATCAATCCCGTAGGTTCTGTCTAGCTGTCCCCAGCAGTTTCTCTTCGTTATGCTAATGCTCGCTGTCTTATGTTACCCCCGAAGACGCTCAAAAAAAGGGCGCTTGCGCTTATCGTTACGTCATCTGGGGGCGGTAACGGGTGGTGTCGCGAATGATTTCAAACCAAGTTCCGAATCAAGTCGTAACGTGCAGAGTCTGCACATAATTTGGCCGAGTCCATGGTCAGATACTGTGCATGCAGGCTTTCGGTGCCAAAGTGTCGTCGTTCACGTACATCTGCATGATGTGGCAAGCGTTTTTTGGAGCTGAGGTTGCCCTGTTGGGGTCGCCGAGCCGAGCCTGGCATCTGCATGATTATGGCAGCCATCCCTTCATTTGCGGCTGCTGCTGATGCGGAAAAGCATGTCATAGGTGGTTGAATTCACCTCCGACGTGGGCAGGAAGATGTTCGGGTTCAGCCACGAGGATCGGGGCCAGCGACACGGGGCTCAGCAAGCTTCCACTTGTCGTGCCAGTTGGCGATCGTGTTCTTCTGGCCCCTCTTCGATGTGGGGTAGCAGGGTGAGGATAGTGTAGCAGCATGTAAGCAAGTGCTTCACAGCCTCGTCGTCCCGAGAGCCGACTAACGCTCATGTTGAGTCCCCAAAGCATTGCGAGCGTTTAGAGCGAGAGGGGCAAGCTGGTATTGATGGGGAGCGGTCTGCTAGACAAATATGGGCAACCTCGCAACCTCAGGAGATGGACAACTCCACGGCCTACTATGAGGGGCACTTCAAAATGAATATGAGGCACGTGCCTTGGTTTGCAGCCGCTACTTGTCCCGAGTGACATACGAAAGGAATCGATGGCTCAGATGCAGACGCAGTTATAGGTGTAGTGCGTTGGTGGGGTATACGAGGAATCGCTCGATATTCAACACGCTTACGCTGCATCCACCGACACCATTGTTCCATATGCATGTCTGTGCGTTGTTGTTTGCTTTGTTTCCCCCCTTCTCTGGATTATTCTGGGATCCTCGTGGGCCCTGGTGGGGTTCAATGCGGCGCCTTTTTGGCTGTCTGGGCCAGTGGCTCCTTTGTCCCATCTTGGGGTTACTGTGGGGCGTCCGTTGTGTTTGCTTCGGCCGCCGTTCCCCTTGTGTCTCCGCGGGCGTGCGCGGCGAGCGGGAGAGGCTACCGCGGCGAAACATGACATGGGCGAAGGCAGTAGGGGAGCAGGAGAAGGTGGAGGGGGCGGAGGAGGAGGACCAGTGCAAACCCAAGACTCACCAACGATGTTTGAATAAACCCTCCCTCCACACTCCCCCTCCATGGGCCCCATACAAGGATTCGTTTTCACTGGGGGGAAGTGCCCCGTCGGGAGACACCCGTTTGAAGATCCTGAAGCGTGCCACAGCACCAGTCTCGGGACTCCAACACCACGAATCAACCTGAGTGTTGCGTCTTGACGACCCTGAATCGTACCAGAATGCCATTCCTGGGCATTCAAAACTGCGAGTCAACGTAGCTGTTGCGCCCTGACAATCCTCATACGCTCCAAAACACAATGTTCTGTTACGCTGGCCATGGGATTCGACTGGCCTCGTGCAAACGTTTGTAAAATAATATTCGCGGCGGTACGGCGAGAGCCACAGTTTGAAAAGGAGCCGCCTTCAATCCGTAAAACTCTTGCAGCTTTTCATATTGAATATGCGCGGTGTGAGGCAAGACGAGTGCTGGCGGCGCTAAGGCGAGAGTCACATTTTGAAAAGAGCCCATTTCTTTATTGCTTGGGGCATGACGGGCGTCATGGCCCCCGCCCCCCCCCCTATGACGTAACGCTCCCCCCCCCGTGCGCTCCGGGCACTGCCGCCGTGCGTATTGGGATCCGCGTAGGTGTCCGCGTAGGAATCCGCATAGGAGTCTGGTCCGCAGTCGTCGTCGTCGTCGTCGTCGTCGTCGTCGTCGTCGTCGTCGTCGTCGTCATCGTCGCTCGTGGCTCGTCGCTCGTCGCTCGTCGCTCGTCGCTCATCGTCGTCGTGCGCGCGGACGCGGCTGGATCCTTTTTTTTTTTTTTGTTTTTTTTTTTTCCTCCTTCCGGGCCGATGACGGCAATCAGTTGGGGCGGGTGGAGGGGGTCGATGACGTCACGCTTCGCGCCGGCGGCGCCTGGGTATGCTTAGGAATGACGGAGGACGGGGGGCACCAGCATGTAGGTGGCGATCTGCACCACAACGCCTGTGTACACCTCAGTGCCTGCGTGCATCACAGCGCTTGTGGACACCACACCGCCCATGTACACCACAACAGCCGCGTGCAATACAGTGTCAGTTTGTGTCACCGCGCGCGCGGGCGCAACAGCTCTTGTGTACACCACAGTGCCTGCGTACACCACATCAGCCGTGTGCAACACAGCAGTGTACACCACAATGCCTGCGTGCATTGCAGTGCCTGTGTGCACCACGGCGCTTGTGTGCACCACAGCAACCGTGTGCAACACAGCACCACTGTTGCATGTATAATGTTTGAAGGAATCATTCTGACAAATAGGAGCGTTTGTGGATTCCACCGAAAACACAATAACATAATCCTTATGGACAAGGGAACGCCCAGGGAATCTACGAGTTCTTCCGAGTTCGCCCGCACCACCGTGACTCCTCCTATCAGTGTCCACGAAGCTCCAGCTAAATTGGCCGTCCGAGAACCAAGTGGGCCGATTCAATAGAACATTCTGCGGTGCACGCTGAATTGCGCACGTGTGCTGCAGCGCCAACCCGCACGACAGGAGGTAAGGAAGAGGAGGAGGAGGAGGAGTAGGAGGAGGACGAGGAGGAGGGGGAGGGGGAGGAGGAGGAGGAGGAGGAGGAGGAGGAGGAGGAGGAGGAGGAGGAGGAAGAGAAAAAGAAGGAGGAGGAGGGGGAGGAGGAGGAGGAGGAGGAGGAGGAGGAGGTGGAAGTGGAAGTGGAGGAGAAGGGGAGAGGGAAAAACGTCGCATCTGATTATCCGCACTTTCCTGGCGTGGTGCTTCCGCAGCAGATCCTCACGTACAGGCTTCTTCTACCTGTCCTATGCACGCAGGCAGCGTGGTGTACAATAGCGCTGCGTTGCACGCGGATGCTGTGGTGTAGACAGGCGCTGTGGCGTGCACAAGCGCCGCGGTGCACGCAAGCATTGTGGTGTACACAGGCGCTGCGTTGCACATGGTTGCTTCCGGTGTGCACATGTACACCGGCGCTGTAGTGTACGCAAGCACTGCAGTGTACACAGGCGCTGCGTTGCACACGGTTGTTGCGATGTACGCAGGTGCTGTGGTGCACACGCGCGTTGTGGTGCACGCGAGCGTTGTGGTGTACACAGGCGCAGGGGAGCAGAACGCCACCTACATGCTGCTCGCGTCGTCGTCGTCGTCGTCGTCGTCGTCGTCGCCGTCGTCGTCGTCGTCGTCGCTTGTCGCTTGTCGCTCGTCGCGTCGTGCGCGCGGTCGCGGCTGTGGTGCCGGAGCCACACGGCGGAGGGGGGGGGGGCGTTACGTCATACCCCCCCCCGCCCCCCCCCCCATGACGCCCGTCATCGCCGAGCATAAAGAAACGGGCTCAAACCGCGCGCCCTCCATCCGTGACGCCCGTCATCGCCGAGCATAAAGAAACGGGCTCAAACCGCGCGCCCTCCATCCGTGAAATGGTTGCTTATTTTTGAAATCCACGACCAAGCATGGTAAGGAATTCTCAGGCGAAGCGCCCAGCCCGCCCTTTCGACCAGCCCCGGGGTGATACAGGAGGAGTTATCTGTAAGGAAAGTAATGGAGGACGAGGAGGACCTTCCTCCTCCTCTTGTCTCTTCTCGTCGTGTCTTGCTACCCCTGTCGCCCGCGCAGGCAGGGGGAAGGCGTGCTCCATGCCCCGGACGCGGGCGCCAAGTACGTGGGGCAGTTCCAGGCCGCTTCTTCCTGCTCCTCCTCCTCCCTGTTCCCTGCTCCTCGTCCTGCTCCTCATTTTCCTTATTCTCCTTCTCCATGCTCCTGTGCCTGCTCTTCTTCCTCCTTCTCTGTCCGCTTCGCCCATCTGACCGACAGGGTCGCCCCCGCAAGTATGACGCATTTTGGGACGGTCTGGGATGGAGGCGGTGGTAGACCAGAAAATTAGACATTTGTGTAGTTTTTGATCTTTCACAGATAATCATTTGTTTTATGCGTAAAGGCTATGGCACTAGGTTGCTGCCGATGTTCATCGCACGGGCGCGCTGGTACATACTCCTCTCTTTTCTCCTCCTCCTCCTCCTCCTCCTTCTCTTCCTTCTCCTTCCCTCCTTCTTCCCCTCCTACCCCTCCCCCACGTCCTCCACCTCCTACTTCTCTTCTTCCTCCTCATCCTCCTTATCCTGCCCCCCCTCCCCCTTCACATGCAGCGCGCGGCAGTTGGGAACCCTGGCTGCGCAGGCTGATCGATACCACGGCCACGGGGACAACACGTGGTCAGACGGCAGCAGGCGCGTCCATGGAATGGCATGGCATGGAGGGTGGAGGGGAGAAGGATGAGGAGGAGGAGGAAACAGGAAGAAGGAGGAAGGAGGAAGGAGGAGCGAGGAGGGAGGAGGGAGGAGGAGGAGGAGGAGGAGGAGGAGGAGGAGGAGGAGGAGGCCAGGAGGGGGGGGCGGGGGCCCCGGCCCCGCTTCCCTCTCCCCCCATCTCTTCCGAGTCCCCCTTCTCCTCCCCCTTCCCCCTCCGCGGCCCCCTCTGCGTATCTCGATCGCCGCCCATGAAGTCGTCGTCCACGGCGGCTGCCTGCTCGACGACCGCAGGCTCCATCGCGGCGAGGCCTCGCCCCTTTCACGTCGTTCCTCGTCTTCCCCGCACTCCACCTCCGGAGCCCGTTTCCTCGGGGGGTCTTTTCCGCCGTGCCCTTCAACGCCTCCCCTTTGATCTCCTCGCTCCGCCCCCATCCCCTTCCGCCTCTGCCTCCCGCAGTATCGGATCGACGTCCGTGGATCGCGCGCAGCCCCCACCGATCACCCCCCTCGTCTCCTGCCCTCCTGCAGGCATGAGGCCGAAGAGCGGCGGCGCCACTCGCCACTAGACTGTCACTGCGGGCGCCATGACCAGGCATCGCCGCATCAGAAGCTGGCCGCCTCTCAGCAGCGCGCTCCGCAACCCGATTCCGCTGTGGCGCGGCTTGATCCTTGTGCCGTCGCCCTAGCGCAGGCAGGCTCAGATTGGCTTTTCGCTTCTACATCGAGCTCACCAGCCTCGGGGTTGGAACACTCGGCCAGGTGCACCAGAAACATCAGGTTCACCCTCTTGCACGCCGTAGCGACCTTCTCCACCTCTGCGCGCGCAGATGGTCAGTTGGACCCTCGCGCACTTTGACAAGACGGAATGGAAGGGCGTGGCCCATGACCCATATCAACACCTTCGAAACAATCGAGTTGTCGGAGGTCTGGGAGGAGAGGGAAGAAAGTAGAGGGCATGGTCGGGGAGAGGAACACAAAAAGGAGAAAAGGGTCGGTGGCGAGATGGGGTGATTAGTAGGTAAAGGCAAGGGTGACAGGAAGCGTAAAGGAAGGATGGTGGATACAGAAAAAAAAGGGTGAGGCAAGAGAAAATTATATCATGCGACGTGAGGGGTCAAGGGAGGGGGTGCCTCCTCCTCCCCCGCATCCTTTCGGGTGTTTTCACTTGTGGTCCAGGCCCGCGGCGTCGCCAGTGTTTCGTCCCACTCTGAAAGCCCTGGGGCCGTCCTTCCAGGCCTCGGAAGGAGTGCTCCGTGGAACTTGTGGGAGTTTTGTGCCAGGGACACTTCGGCTACCCCCGATCGGAAGCTGTACGAGTGCTTGCAAATCCGTGGCTGCTAAAACGGTCTTCCCGGAAGCAATCAACAAATTCCCGGGATACAGCTCAACGCGCTAAATAGTGAACGGGCCGTTTCCAGGAAGAACAAACCATTTCCAGGAGCTCCGTTTTAGCAGCCACTGGTTTGCCAGCCTTCCCTTGGCTTCTGACCTGATCCTTACCCCAGCTCCCCGTTTCCATTCCCCCTCACATCCCCTCCCCCCACTTCTCCTTGTCCTGTCCTGCTTCTCCCCCTGCGGTCGCCCAACCCATGGTCTTCCGTGTGGCCTGCGTATCAGTGATGGGGTGCTCCTTCTGAGGTGGAGGGGATGAGTAGTTGTGGGGTGGGGGGAAGCGCGCGGATGGGGAGTGGGAGCGGCTTGAAGAGCAATAGTGGCTAGAAGGGGAGAAGGAGGGGGGAGGGAGGCGGAGCGAAGGGAAGAGGGCGAGGGGTCAGAGGGGGGACGGAGGAGAGAAGATGGGAGAGGGACCGAGGGAGCGGCTCGACGGGAGATAGAAGGGGCGTGGCCTGCTTGGACACTGGAATATCAAGCTTGCACTTCTGCCTCAACCCCCCTCCGCCCCTGCTGCCTCCCCACACCAGCTTCGCTATCCGAGCCTTGGCCAGTCATTGTTTCGGTGGAGAATGCGCGTGTTGAAGTGGAAGGGCAAGCCCTACTTGGGATGGTATTATGGAGCAGAAGACGATCCATCATTGTGGGAGGTGTTCTGGCACGGTTTGCAAGCACATTTTATTTTCCGCGCCGCCTCCACGAGGCATTCCGTGGCCCAGAGCATCGATCTTTTGCACTGCCATGTTGACAATGGTGTTTGAATCGAGGATGAGGCTATTGAGCATCCCCCCTCCTTGCTGCCTCCCTGAGCTGCCCCACCTCTAGGGGACCGCATGCGAACCCGACCTCTACCCCCCACGTCTTCACGGCAACGGCAGGCAGGGAGGGAGGGAGGAAGCAGCCGATACCGGGCGCACGCTCCCGAGCGCGTGCGGCATCCCCCGCCGCCGCCGGGGCGGCCGTGGAGGTACAAGGGGCAGTGGGTCCGCGGCCAGAAGCACGGACAGGCCGGGCGTTGTCAACCGACCACCCCGCCGCCAGGCCCGTCCTGGGCCCCAGACCAGTGCATACGCATTCCCGGCTTGGCCAGAGAACGACCAACGAACAAACGACACCACCCCACCTACGGTCCTCCATGTTGCGCTGCGGCCCATCGGGCGCCGTAGCGTATACCACGCAAAAACCCAAGTCGGAATTCTTGGCATATGCTGAAGCCCGTGGGTGGTGCCGAAGGTGGGGTGGTGTCGTTTGTTTTCTGGTCCAAGAGAGGCATGTTCGGACGGGGCCAGGACCAGGATAGATCTGTTCGAGAGCGTTCTGGCACGCTCTCAGAGCGCTCCGGAACGCTCTGAGAAGGCCGCGGCACCCGAGACATCCTCCAGAGCCGCCGGATCTCAGAGATTCTCGATTCATCCTCACCCGATGTTATCCTCGTCCTGGCTTCGTCTTAGATGTAAACCGATCTCATGCCCATACCACCCTGGAAGAATTAACTCTCGCGCGCGGTTCGTCCGTAGCCATTTTGGCTCAAGGCGACTTCACCTCCTCAGCGCGAATATCTCTTCGGACTTTCCAATCTTACAGTCGCAGCCCTTTCCTAGATGTTCGCTGTTCCGGGCATAAGGGAGATCAGTTCCTCCGACTACCCTGGCGGCGAGGCATGGTACCCTTTCATGATGTGGTACCCCTACGTCGCCAACTTCGTCTCTGTGGTGTTGGTCCTCATCGCGTTTTATGATTTCTTCCAAGTCCCAGAGCAGATTTGCGCAGCACCCGACCTGAGTGTCCCGTCGTCAACAGTGTCAGAGGTGCTCGCCCTGTACAGGAGCAAATCCGACGGAGTGAGCAGGCCTGTATGGGTAGCATGCATGATTGTACTTACATCGTTGATATGCTTTGCATTGGGTCCACTGCGGGACAGTGCCCTTGCAGCTGGCAGCACAACATATCCGCGCATTACAGATTCAAGCAGGAACGGGGCGTAGGAGGTCGACGAGGCGCGGGATGCAGACATTTATGTGGAATCGCTGCATGCCAAAAACTGCGGATCATTTTAATGGTGTTGATGGTCATGGTTTTGATTACATTCGGAATTTTATCTTTACCCACGTCTGAGATCACAACGTGCACCACAGCAGTGGGTGGTGAGCCCAAGGCCCAACGCAATTGGCATTTGTTTGCTGTCGACCTGCTCTTCGTGATGTCCCTGTTTGGTGGGCTGTACGGTGTGGCTGATGGATTCCGCACGTTCGCAAACAGTGAGAACTCAGGTTTTATTATAGGTGACATTTGTTACAGGCTCTTTCCTGACATAGGCTTTGTTTATGTTCCTTCACCATTTTCAGCTTGCCGTACTTGTCTCAACCTCAACTTCTCTCGAATAGTGTGGCATGTGCATGCGAAGTTTTGGGTGCCGTCGTGTTTGTGCTGCTGATGATGCGCCAGGACCGCCATTGGGAAGACTTCTGCGGCAAAGTCGCGGACATCGGCAAAACCGACCATGAGTACAGTGCTTTGGCTCCGTAGCCATCTTGGCTCACGTACGACATCTATCAAGGCAGCTGGGCAGGAGCAGCCTTTCGCGCTGGTCCTCAGAAGGCCCGCCCTGGCCAAGACTCGGCTGCTTCTGACACGCACTTCCGACGTTCCTTCTCCCTTTCTCTCATTGCACAGCGGCCGCGATGCCTGGGGAAAGTTCTCGTCGGTCATCCTCGCGCAAACCTTTTAGCTCAAGACGTCGAGCTTCCAGTCGCTCGCCGTCTGACGAGTCATCAGACAGCCGCCCACGGTCCTCTTCGTCCCGCAGCCGCACGGTCAAGGGGAAGTCCACGAGAGGTAAGCCATCGAGTGGGGAGAAGCTTAATGAAGTTCTTCGCGCGCTCCGAGGATTTGGGTCTCAGATGGCCACGAAGTTCTATGACATCGGCCTCGTGAAGCACCAGGTCGCCGCCCAGACGGCACGCTGCGACCAGCTCACGACGAACATGACAAACCTCTCGAAGGATATACACTCCAAGGTGGCGCAGCTGGAGGGCCAACAGACCGCCATGTACACGGACCTGATCACGAAGTTCGACTCTTTCCAAGCCAGCGTCAACGAACAGATTCTGATTGAGCTTGCTGCCCAGGAGGCCCGCCAGCACGTCCCCTTCTTCGACATGGCCTGCGATGGTGAAGAAGCCGCCCGTTCGAGGTTACAGCAACCGATCGCCTCCCTGCAGGAACAGTTCCGCTCTATTTCCACGGCGCCCTCCATGACTGGCCCCGCCGACGCCCGACAGGACAACACCTGCAGGCTCGTCGCGATCGGCTTCCCCCGCAAGATGCTCGCACGCTCCCGGAAGACCATTGCTGACGCGACGAAGTCCCAGTATGCGCCGGCTGAGGTCCAGACGCGGATCACGGCCAAGCGCTTCGTCATGTCCAAAAAGATCAGTTTCGATTTTGAGCGGGCCGCGGAAGCGACCATCTTCCTCGCCAACTTCCCCCGTGACGGAGTGTTTCGCCATACCGCTCCGTTTGTACCGCAGAATATGTTCAAAATCGAGGTCATGCGCGACCAGGGCATCAAGGGCCGCCAGCTCTTCCTCTCCACGGGCAGGATCTGCTCCCTCATCTCCAACCTCCTCGCCCCACGCGGCCTCGAAGTCGGCAGCGACGGCCTGGGGGGACTCGTCTACGCGCTGAAGTCTGAGAATGAGCCCATCGAGATTGCCCAGCTCCCGGTCACTGGCGATGACCTCGCGGCCCCCATCGAATTGGACGCGGCTGGGCTGAGGGAGCTTGGGTTGGAGACCCAGGCTGCCGCCGTCCGCGCTGCTGCGCTTGCGCAGATTCCGCGTCCCTTTAGACGCTGAAACTGGTTGCACTTCGGAAGGCCTGTGCGCCAGCGCAACGCGCGCGCTGTCTCCAGTTGCCCGTGAGTTAGACCCGCTTTCTCTGGTCTCTCTGCACGGACGTGGCGAGGTTCCTCCCTTTGCCCCTTCTCCCAGTAGTCTTCCCTATGTTCCCACTGCTCCGCCTTCCACTGGTTCGTGGAACGCGCGCGGTCTGTTCAGCTCGGTCAAGAATGCGAGTTGGCGTGCCAGCGCACGCTACCCTCTCCTCCTCTCACTCCCTCGCAGGTTTGCTATTACGTGTTGTCAGGAAGAACATGGTCACATAGGATATATCGGAGAGCCCCATCGCGGGCTGGGCTCGGCTTCTTCGGGATTGTCGACTGGTTCGTCCTTCTCCCTTGATTCCAAGCATGAAGGTGGGGTCATCGCGACCATCGCTCGGGGGTTCGGCCAGCCATTTATTCACATGTCACGCAGTACTATCATCACTGGTCGCATCCTTCATAGCCGTCTCTCTGGACAGAATAGGCCCCTCAGCATCTTCAACGTCCACCTCCCCGACACCAGCCGCGCGGTTGCTGTCTTCACACGTGCGGGTACCTCTCTGCACGCTGTGTTTCAGATGCATCCGGATGATCACCGAGTCTTGTTTGGCGATTTTAAGTTTGCGTTGGAGCAGGAGTGTCGCACGCAGCATGACGGAACGGGTTGGGGCGCGGGTGATCGAGCACAGGGTCGCATATTTCAGCGTCTTTTTCCTGACCTCACGGAGTTGTACCATGAACAAGACACTGGGCGGGAAGTCAGGGGCGGGGCAGTCACGCACTCGGCGCGCTTGGACAGACAGAGCGTACGCATCCCTTCCCCAAGCAGTAATACGCGATCTAGACATCCGCTGCTGCGTCCTGGGTGAGTGGAGCGACCACATCCAGATTTTTATCGACATCGAACCGCGCCGGCCTCAAGCTGGCCCCACAACCATCCCCAGGTGGGCCACGGAGCGCCCTGAGTTTCAGAAATTCCTGGAGGCTGCCATAGCTGGAATGTCATCCGAGCAACTCAGACCTGATGTTCTCCATGGCGGCGCACGTGCGCGACTTCGTCAAGCGCGAGTTTGCCGGCGCTCCTGGGATTAAGCAGTGCTGGGCTATGCAGGCTTTACGGGGCTGGGGGCTCGGCAGGGAATGGATGATCCGCCGTGCTCTCAGATGTTATCTTACACCTCGAGCTCATTCCTGCTTTGCCTCTTTTCAATGCGCCAACTTCGCGGGCCAATGCGCTCTTACTCGCAGTATCCAGATGCAGCTGATTGACGAGGAAGCCCGTGTAATCGACCCGCCAGGCCCCCCCTCGGAGTAAAGCCGCCGAGAAAAATATCCGTGTCAATCGCGCGCAAGAGCTTCGATGTCGTTTTAAAAGTAGACATGCTTCGCGGGCATCTACGATGAGAACAGGGGGCCGTGCAAGTTTGTCGCCCTTTCGCCGAGGTCCTCCAGGCAGACTGGTCCAACGCTTCTTGCTGCTCCCGCCCTGGGTGCCTCAGAGAGGCCCGATGTTGACGCTCGTTTCTATATTATGTCTGAGCCCCTTTCTCGGTCCTGGAAGCTCTACTGTGGTGAACGGCTTGAATCTGCGCGGTCTCGGGTCCACAGTATGCCGGGTGAAGATGGTCGTCCTTTCGGGGCGTGCGCGGTCTGGGAGATCCCAGATGCGCCCCGTCTGCTTTTTGATGTTAACCTCACTCTCTTCACAGATGGCATCCGCGAGCTGCCGACTGCAATGGGGCGGGGCCTCGCGGCACTCCCCCCGGAGGGCGCGGAGCCGCGGGGCGACCCCGAGGAAGTGCGCCGCCGTCCCAGCTGCGCCCGTCCGCCAAGCAGGTCGGACACAGATGTGCGCACTCGTGCAGGTGATCTGCCATGCGCGCGGTCAGCTAACACCAGTAACCTAGTCTCCGACGAAAACGCATGTGTCGCTGGGAGGGATCTGCTTACGAACGTGGCTGCGGCAGAAGGATGGGGGCTCGACCTGCACACCTGTCTTCGATCGCCAGACTGCCTACCTTTTCCTCGCGGACTTCTGCGCTGCCTTCCCGTCGCTTGCGATCCCGTGGCTGCTGCGCGTGCTAGGGCAAATGAATGTCGACCCTCTTCTTCGCTGGGTCCGATGTCGAGCCTCATTTCATATCGACATGACTTTCGCTGATGCCGGCGTTTTTTGCTTCGGTCTCAAAGACGTCCTGCTTTCCTTGTTTTCCCTCCTCGCCGTGCTTTCGCGGGTCGAACAGATTGCAGGTCTCAGCCTCAACTTTAAGAAATGTCAGATTCTGGTCGTCGGCTCCTTAAGCGTTGACCTCCTGAGGGGCTGTTCGGGTGCCGAAGGGTGATTTCAAAGTGATCCAGGTCTTAGAGATATATCAAAGACCTAGGGATTCTCATCGGTCGTGGAGCCGAGAGCCTTGCTTGGAGTGAAGTTGGCCCTGAATTCAGACAGCGCGCCGATCTCGCGCGTCAGCTTGGCCTCGGACTCGCTCGCTCGGCAGTGGCTTTTAGAGTACTGCGCGTGTCCATCCTCTCTTTTACTCGACAACTGCATCCCGTCTTTCAAGCTCCTGTTCACAAGGATCAGGAGTCTCTCATGTAACCTGACTGCTGGCACCAGGAATTCCTCGTCATACACATTATGTACACAACTGCCACGCGTTCACCTTCCAGTCGAGTTCCAAGATATTCACACTCTAGCCCGTGCAGTATGTCTTCGACCTATTATCCAAAGCTGTTCCTTCGGTGTACTGGCCTCGCGGTTGGAGGCAGTGCGAGGTGAGCCTGATCGTGTCTTTGTCCGAATGTGCAGTGGCTGGAGGGACTCAAAATTTCTTGCTTATAATCGCTGGTTGTACCTCTGGTACATGGAGCTGCCCCGCAGCCTACCTTGCCGCTTCGTTCCGCCTTTACTTGTGAAGCCCCCTGGGGGGCACCAAGAAACTCCAACACCAGCTTTATCGTATGTATTGGGTAGTGCAGACTATCGAGAGCACCCCTACAGTATCATATTGAGGCGTATTCAGAAATTCTAGACGCTTCGCGTATCCCCACCAGCCCGTCCAGAAACGACGCCCAGGCGAGTAGAGGGTCGTCCTGAGGGGC